AGTACTGTCTTCTGCACCAACTCCCACAACCCCTTAAAAAACTTGATTATATGGAGATCGTGAGATGCGGTCTGGTGTGACGTAGGTTTTAGAAAAACATTTTCTTTATCGTTCCAACGTTTCGATCTTTATTGAAATCATCTTCAGGGCTCAAAGTGTTTGTTTTCTATGTAGATGTGTCATTATTGGGTGTCGTGTTGCGAGTGCCCTTTAAAAAAAGCTTGCTTCGGGAGAAATAGTGTTTCTGCAAGTGTTTTTTCCCAATAATAAATTGTACCAAGTGAAATCCATTTTTAAATAGTTGGCCCAAGAATTATGTTCTTTGCAAAGCTCACGAAGTAAGCTGTTATGAGAAAATTGTCATCTTTTTAACAGCTATTCTTGATCTGGATTGTATTTTCCTCCGAGATTCTATCAGTGCAATTTAACAGTTAACGAAAAAAGGGTTTCTCCCTGTTTGAACAAATAATAAATTATAAAAAAAATAAACTAACAAACACAGGTTTAGCAGTGAAGGTTCCTTTAAATTCAGGCTCGCTGTCGAACGAGGTGAAAATTTGAAATTAGAACTTATGTGAAAAAGGAAGAGTAAGTTACGTGTAAACAGCCGATAAAATGTACATTTTGTGGTCTGTCTTATGTGACCGACAAGACGATAAGAACTAAACCTGCTTTTAAATTCCAGAAGGTTTAATGATTTCAAGTGTCAAGCTGTAAAAAGATATTAAAAACCTACTTTTTACGTAATTGTATATACACTCAAAGACAAAAAACGGGCATTCGTATTTTGTTTTTTATTATTAATACAAAGTATATGTATTTTTATCGTTATATTAACTATAACAAACTAACTTTAATGTATACAAAATAAAGAAGATCACAAATTCATTAGCTTTAATGCAAATTTTAAATATGATATGAAAGAAAAATTCGCCATAATACCGGAAAATCATCCAGTGATAGATTAAAATTTAAATAATCTAGTAAATAAGCAATCGGATTTCGTATTGTGGAATCGAATTGCATTTTTTAAAAAGAGAGATTTGAAGACGATCAACGATTGTTGGAGGTCCTTTAACAACGAAGTCTAACGTCTTTATCATATCCCATAAATGTTCCATGGGATTAATGTCAGGAGAACGTGCTGACAATTCCTTATTATCCCTACATCCTCCAAGTGATGACAACTCGAGCTGCATGCGGTCGGGCATTATCATCCATTAACAATAAAATAATAATAAATAAAAAAATGGAGCGAAATGGACCTCAGTTTTCAGAAGGGCTTCTTCAATGTACCTTAGTGCAGTCAAACATTGATTCTTTATGCTAATCAGTTCGGTAGGGGCATGGATGTCGATTCCACTCTGTACCATAACAATTTGTCTTTCAAAAGGCAATATGGCACATGAAGCAAGGCGTTCTCTGTCTACTTATCACACGGTTCCGGTCATCTGAATGCCAAAAATCAAACTGGCACCCATCTGTGAACAGAACAGCTTCCCTTCCCATTCTTCAAGTTTCCAAGCAATATGTTGATTGGCAAAGAGTCGCCTTTCTCCTTGATGCTTCTCCTGTAGTAACCTGATGCGAAACGCCTAGAGACTAGGCTATTCTCACGAAGCCTTCTCATTACTGTTTTCGAGTTCACCATTACATTGGACCAATTGGAGTTGACTACCTTTTAAGGAAGCTGTTAAATTACGGTTCCGTGGTCGATAAGAGCAATAAAAAGATCATCTTTAGCCGTTGTACATCGCGGTCGACCGCTACCATCGATTTAGACTTGAATTGGCCCTAAACCCCCTTGGCCGGGTGGTAGAGCGTGGCACACCAGAGACTTGGACTATCTAACGGACGTTTCACCCAAGAAAACAATTTAAAAACCACTCAATAAATTGGCTTTGAAAAGGGTTAAAATGAACTGATTTTCTTTATTTTTAATCTAAAGAGTGCAAAAGGATTAGTATCACTACAAAGGAAAAAACAACTCATTATTCTGTTTTCGTTTCAACTCAACTATTAATCTGTATACCTAGTTATTATAGAAAATAAACAAATAAATACAAGTATCCAGTCTTTGTGTTTGAGTGAATATATTTTTAAATGTCTTGTTTGTAAATGATTTTGTACCGACATTTTGAAATTGGATCAATTTGAAAATAGTTGGTAGAATATCTTACCAAAATTTAAATTGTCTGTATTTTGCCTGTACAGGCAGAACACTTTACATCAATTAGTTTGACTATTATTGCATAAATTCAGGTCTAAAGTTTAAAAATTGGAAAATCTAGGATTTTAACTTAATTACTTCATATGATAAATATTTTATAAAAAATTTTATAAGTTATTTATTACAAATAATTTTTTAAGAGTTTTCTTTGCTGTCTCATAAATTTTACATTACTAGTACAATATAGTGATTACTTTTAAAGAGCGTCTTTGGCTACCCGTATTACAAACTTTGCCAGTAGATTCTATATTAAAAATGAAACCAAAAATTCCTAATAAACTAATGCCTGAATCTCAACAGTTTCGCTTTTATTCCCTTTTTTATGATTTTTCAAAATTTCACGACCTTGCTTCAAGTAAACAATGATAACGCCAAAACTAAACGGTTTTGGACAAAACGATTGATACCATTAAAAACTACGTTAAATTTCCAATAAGATATGAACAATATGAAACTGGTAAATGTTGGTGAAATACGCGTTTTAGTAGCCAGAACATTGAAAAATACATTTTTTTTCAAAGTTGAAACACTTACTATGATGATTGGCCTAGAGACCAGCAAATTTCAAAAAACGTACTCCATTAAATATCCTTTTTAGTGGTGTAATTGCTTTTTTAAATTTCTACTTCAAAGTTTAAGAAATTGATGAACGAAAGGAAAAACCATGGTGCCAGATTGATAAGGTAGAAAGTTTACAAAAATAAAACGACTTAAGGAAATTTTGAATGAATTTATTTAAAAACGTATAATAAATTCATTTAAAATTTTCTTACGTTTTTTACTTTTTTAATCATCACCAACGTTTACAAGTTTTGTGCTGATCACATCTTATTGGATATTTAACGTAGTCTTCAATGGTATAAACGAATTTGTGCAAACCTGTTAGTTTTAGAGTTATCTTTTTTTATTTGAAGCAGGTCTTGAAATCTTAAAAAATCAGAAAAACGGAAATAACCCCGAAACTGTTGAGATTCGGACCATTGTTAATTAGGACTTAATTAGGACTATTGGCACAGTTTGTAATTGGAGTAGCCGAACACCTTGTATGTACCACTTCAATAGCATATTGACAATCTGCAGACAAAGAAAATTGTATGACTGTGTTATGAAAATTGAGTGTCAAAAATTTCAGATTTGAATACCAACAGAACGAAATAAATTTAAGACAAGTTGGATGTTTATTTTACTAATACATTTTACGTCAGTTTTGCCTTGTTTTTGTAACTTCTAATTTTGTACTTATTATATTCATAATGTACTATTATAGTAATTTAATTCAAATAATATTCCTAACTGTTATTTCCATCGAAGTTTTATATTATCTGCAAAAATTTTCTTTCTAACGATTTTATTACGCATGTTTGTTGGGGGATGATAGTTTTTGTCTATGAGTGTTTACATACTAAATCTGGGTCTTTTTGGTGTTTCCTGCAATAGTTTCTTTTTCTTTCGATGTTATTGTAGTATTTTTAATGGAGTACATAAATGTTATTAGCTAGTATTACAATTAATTAAGGTTTTTAGTTGGGATAAAAAAGTTTTTCAAATGTTTGCAATTGTTTACATTTGAAGAATGGCAAAAAGGAGGGAAAATTCAAAAGGTGGGGTTGAGATGGGAAGTTGGTGTCCGAGTTGATCGAGGTCACGATAGCTCAAGTGGTAGAGCAGCGGCGTATCTAGCCGAAGATCGTGGGTTCGAATCCCGCTCGTGCCATTGAATTTTTTATCTCAACTAAAAACCTTAATTAATTGTAGTATTTTGATTGGTCAAGCGGACCACGAAATTAGTGAATTTAAGGAATTATTTGTGTTTTAGTAGTGAGTATGTTGTTTCTGTGTATCCCTACGTTTTCGGATGTGCCTATTTGCCTTCTTCTTTGTGTTTGCAAGGAGCAATTTTAAAATATTACTTGAATTATAAGTGGCTACTTTTAATTTTGCCGACTGTACCTTCTCTACCGAAACTATTTTGTTTTGTCTTATTTTTCTTTTTTCTACCAGTTTATCCGGTCAATTTTTCCTTACTCGCAAGTTTTGTCGAATTATACTTGTCAGTGTTTTGTATCACACATGTACTTGCTAAGGAGTCTGTAGTCTCCAGTGTTGTTTTTACGGTTGATTTATTTTATACAAATATTTTCCTGTGTTTATGAACACTTTCCTGAGATGCTTGTTTTCGTGTGTGTCTATGTTGCAGTCGGTGCTGTACGCTATGTTTTTTATTGTTTGCTATGCTTGTTTATATTTCACAACTTACTGATATTGATTTTATTATCTCCAATACTTTCAATATTAAAAATCAGGGATGAGGCAAACTGGTCACATACTTTTTATGCTGTCGTTTGTATATCTGTTAATTTTCTAAGATTCGTACATTTTTAACTTTAGAGTAAATATGCACTTTAGGTCATTACTTTAGGTCTTTAGGTCTCAAATGTAACGCTGTTCTGTATCTCTTCTGTATTGTCACCGTTACCTTATCACTCATTAGCAATTCGAGCTTGATTTTATTCTGTGTGCCATGGACGTTTTGATTGCTGTTGGTATGAACACTTGGAATTTTAGGTATTTCTTTAAACTTGTCATGGTTGTTATTTAATGGCAGATTTGACGAATTATATTATTACATGTTGGTTTTCATTTTTGCTGTGGTTGACGATAGATTTATATGTAGGTGAGCTTCATTACCGTTCGTTTTTTTTCATGTTTTCATCGTTGTACTCGCACCAGTGAAGTGCTTTGTATGGGTTTACGGAATAAAAAACACAAGTATTATAAAAATTTGATTTTATTGGTACAAAGATTAAACTAAATGTTTGGCAAATAAACGTGACTCAAGTACTCGTTTTCTCGATATTTGCCAGTCATTTGAGGCACAGTATGGTAACTTAGGCAACACGTTGAAAACATAAATAAGAAAGAAAGAATGGCTTTGATTCAATTCTTAGTATAAAAGCTAGTTCTTAATTTTGTTTTGTATAAAAAAATGCTGTTTTGATTAATGGTGGTAGTGGTCGTAGAGTCCATGTCCTCCGAAAGATTCAAATCCTCCAAAGTGTCCGCCGAATCCGTAGTGGTGGTCCTTGACGAAGACTGGGACGTGTTTGTGGACGTACACGGGGTGGGGGACAGCGACTGGGACGTGCTTTTCAACAGCAACGGGGTAAGGTTTGGGTACTGGGTAGGGGACGGGGTGAGCGACGGGTACCTTGACGGGAACTTTGACTGGGTATGGGACTGGCTTCTCGACCGGGTAAGGGACGGGCTTCTCGACTGCGACGGGGTAAGGCTTGGGTACGTGGACCGGGTAGGGCCTATCGACGGGGACGGCGACTGGGACTTTGACAGGGACGGCGACGTGCTTTTCGACGGTGACTGGGTATGGAGCCGGGACTGGGACGGCGACTTCCTTGTGGACGGTGACGGACTTGACGTGTCCGTGGCCGAGGCCGAGGCCGCTGAATCCTCCGAAAGAGTGACCCAGGCTGTAGTCGCTGAATCCTCCTAGGCCATATCCTCCGTGGGAGTCGAGGGCGTAACCTCCGTAACCGCCGCCGTAGCCGTAGCCGAGGCCGAAAAGTCCTCTCTTGTCTTGCTTCTTCTCTTCAGTAGCTTTCTTGGTGGCTTCTCCGGCGTAAGCCGCTACTACCAAGAACAAGAGACCTGCAAGCTAAAATCCAAAACGTCAATTAAAACCTACCAAGTTACAACATTAATTACAAGACTCAGGTCACTCATTAAACTTTAGTGAAAGTAAAATTTCTTCTCTCAAAATATTTACATCATTACATCGATTTTTCTATTAAATTCGCCAATTTCAGTATAAATCTTTATTTGGTTTCAAATAAATAATTTTGGAAAGTAATGTTAACACAGATTTTCAGTTCTTTCAGGACGGACGGTTCATACGACACTCCCATTTGTCGTTGGACATGGTTTTCTGATTGAACAGAGTACTAACATACTAAAAGGTCTTTCGACATATTTTACCGCCTCGCTGAATTTATTACACTGCTGTGTGCATAACGTTAATTTCATTTTACATCATTTTACCGGACGATTCGGATCGTTTTTCGACAAACAATAAAAGACAAGGGTTTCCATTTGAAATAAAATTACATACTATCATTTTCTCTTAATTTAACATCCATAAAAACTAACACTATTACATTACTGATTTGTATTGATTTTATGTTAAACAGTTTTCACGCTAGATAATCATAAAAAACAATCTAGAAAAGATTCACAACAAAATACTCTCACGAAAAGAAGAGGCTCATTTTAACATGCACTAGTGAATTTATTTTTAAGCGTGTTAAACAAAAACTTTTTTTAACTTTGCAACAGTTAAAAACCGAGAATAGTTGAATATTATGTTATACAGTTAATTACAATCAAGTCCCGTTTTTCAGTTTTAAGTGTCGAACGATAAGGAGATCATTGGACTTATTGTTTGTTATTTTTCAAAGAATAGAAGCTTTCTACATATTATTTTTCCTAGTTTGTCATATTCTTATAAAAACCCATTTCCTAGCACGCAATTCTATTTATTTTATTATTATTTCAGGGTTTTTTTTGTAAATTGAATTATTTTAGAGCTCTTACCATCTTGTATATTACATTAACAAATGATAAAGAATTTTAAACGTAAATATACTAATTATTTATTTAAATAAATTTAATTAAGTTTGAATGCTTGTGAAAAATTGACAATCACAAAAAAATCATTAGTCATAAGGATCTCAAACGATCGTCTTCAGTATTTGAAATTTCATTTAACCATTCATTCGAAAGTAAAAAAATCTGAATTTCTTTTTAAAGAAATCTTTATAAAATACATGAGGAAGTTTGAATAAAAACAAATATGCTTGGCCTGGGCTGAATTTTTCTGTAGTAAAAGAGTGAATGGCCTAGTATAGTTTAATAATTTAATAGTTTTTAATTTTACCTGGGTGAATAATAGTTTATATTCGTAATGAGCATAGCATCTCAACAAAACAAATGTAGCGTTTCTTTAACAATTTAAGTTCAAATTTTTAAAAAGCTTTTGCTGTAAACAAAAAGAAACGAAACAGTTTGGAAAATTAGTAAAATTAGTTTTTTTAAAGTTAGACAGTAACTTGTTTTAAGAAAATTAAAAGTTTAAGTAAGATTACAAGAGAAATATTGTGTTTCAAATTAAATTTTGTGAAAATGGTTTTGCCTGAAGAGATTAACTCGATTTTATGTCGGGTAAGTTAAAATGGAACTAGGAAAGTGAAAATTATGTTTTTGGCTGTAGTTTAACACGATCAACAAACAATTTTATTGAAAATTAAACAATTTTAAGCAGAAATCGAATCCAGCAATGGAAAAATTCGGAAACACTTTCTTTTACATTAAATCCCTCCAAAAAACGAATCAAAATTAAACAGTAATAAAAGCTTGAGAAATTCGTAGGTGAAGTTAGAAAAATGACATAAAATCGTTTTAATATATTGAAAATAAGATTATGTTGCTGTTTGAATTTTCATGATTATGGTGAACAGGAAATGTGTTTTATTTCGAATAAAATTTTATAAAAAAAATAAGAATAACAATTTAGGGAAGAGTTATGCTAACTTCGGCTTTGTAAAAATTAAATTAAGCAGGTTTAGATTGTAAAACATTTTCAACAAAATTTAAAAAGAGCATTGGTGAAATTTAGAAAAATTTCTTCTTACGTTAAATTTAAATTGAAAAAAAAGTTTAATACCAATTGAAATGTAACAGTAACAAAATAAGCCTGCGAAATTAATAGGTGGTTAAAAAAATAAATTGATAGAAAATTGTTTTTACTGAAAATAAGATTGTAGTTCTGTTTGAATTTTCTTTATTTTAGTGAACTGGAAAAATATTGTGTTGAAAATAAAATTTTATAAAAAAAGAAAACTTTTTGCCAGAAGAGTTATGCTAACTTCGTATTAGTAAAAATTAAATTAAGTAGGTGTTGTAATGTTGTGTTGTGCTAAGTTGTGTTGTATTGTAAAGAAGTTTGAATAGATTTTGAATAGAGCTCTGGTAAAATTTAGAAAACTTGTTTCTTACGTAAAATTCAAATATAATAAAAGTGTAAGCAATTGAAATGAAACAGTAACAAAACAAGCTTGCAAAATTACTAGGTGGTTCAAAAATTATTTGATATAATTTTTTTAAACTGAAAATAAGATTACAAATTCTATTTGAATTTCCGTGATTTTAGTCAACTGGAAAATATTGTGTTGAAAGTAAAATTTTATAAAACAAAGAAACATTTTTTGCCAGAAGAGTTAGGTACGTTAATACATTGTAATTTGGAGTAGTTAAAATTAAATTAAACAGGCTAAAAGGATTTTTTTAGCGTAGAGAAACACGATGAATGAAAAGTCAATTTTGCTCGAAATTTTAAAACCGAAATTAAATACTGCACTGGAAAATTTTATTACCACCGCCCCCGCACTTTTCTACCACCGTTTGACCCGAAACCGTTAAAAACGATATTTTTGTCCATTCAGCATCACAATTTACCTTGTAGCTCATGATGGGTTGCTTTGATCGAACTGTGACTGCTAGGGGCTGCTCACAGGGTATTTATACACCGAGAGGGGGTCGGCTCAAGGCTTGGGAACGTTGGATAACGTAACATGCTTGCCACTTCCTAAGCACACGCCCTCCCCTACCAAGGTGCCAGGTGAATGTTTTAGGATTATTATAAGTCCGGCTTCCTGAAGGGTTGAGGCAATCTGTCGTTTTCGATTTGGAAACTGTTGGGTTTCGGGTCCTGGAATTTTTACTGCAGTCACAGTCGGCCCACTTCACCCTTGCAAGGGACAACATAAAAAATTGTCATTATTCATAATATATACAAATATGAAGATGGTATCTAAATGTACTTTTCATTTCAAGTGAGCACTTAGAAAAAAGTAAAAATATCATTAAATACAATGAACTGTCACAGTAACTAACATCGCTTATATAATGTTTTCAATACATATAACATATCATAAAACATGAATGCGTCAATAAAGCTTTTTTAATTTTATCTCAACTTTTTGCAATTATTTTCTAACCTATTCAAATACAGTCAAAAATTAGCCACTTTAGTTTCGATTTTTTCATTTATTATTAATGTCGAATAATAAATGAAAAAGAGTTAAAATGGAAAAATTTGAATAATATTGTTGAAATACAGCATTTTTACGTCTATTTGAATCTCCCCCAAATGAAGTGAAATCTTTTACAAACCCCTTCCAATTTCCAAGCAACCCCATCCAAGTGAAATGTAACCTTTTCCATATGAGTTAAAATATTTTCCAAAGTATATTTCAATTTTTACAACCCAATTGTTACGCGTTTTATTTCAATTGTAACCGTTTCCAATTCAATTCCTTGAAAAAATTATTTTACTGTGGAATGGGTGAAGTAGGACCACAGATTTCACTGGATAAAATAATCACAATTTCTTGTTAAAAACATTTATTAACAAAAATATACCGCAGACTAACGTAAATTAATTTTCAAAAACATAATTGCTATTAGACAATTTTTTTACAAAAATGAAAGAAAAAATGTAAAAAAAATCAAAAGTTGATTTTTTTGGGTTGCATGCGACTTGAAAAGGGGTACATTTTATTTGTACTGACTTGAAAATATAAAAGTAACAAAGATATATTCTATACAATAGACTATATTTTTGCGATAAATTTGGATTTAACAGAGTTGTTTGAAATTAGGCTCACGATTTGTAGAACCTTTGTTTTCCACTGGAGTATTCCAAAATTAAGTATGGATCCAAAGGTTGTTTTTCACGTAGCATATGTTGTTGCTCTTACAATTTTAATAATTTGCATGTTAAGCTGACCTGACGATCAACTGTTTTTCAAATGTAATGCCCTATTTTTTATCACATTTTGAAAGTCTTTTACATTAAAAAATACCATATTACTCAAAAAATCATAGATTTATTTTGGAGATATTGAATTTTTTCCCCAGAACTCAACAATTTCAATTTATCGTATAAATGGTTCAAAAACAAGAAAATTTAAAAGTTAATTGAATAAAAGATGAAAATTTTATTTGTGTTGATTTTTGAAAATCTAACTTTAAACAACAGGAAAAATTGAAATTATCTAGTTAAGTTTTTTTTTAAAAGGTAATGCCCCAATTTTATACATTTTGAAAGTCCTTTCCGTTCTAAAAATCCAACCTCAAAACTCATCAATTCGTTCTGAACATATTTAAGGTTTCCATCAGACTCGATAATTCCAATTTTTCGTGCAACCGATTGTTGTTAGGCTTAAAAAATCAACCCAAATAAAAGTTTTGTTTTTATCTTTTTTTAACCAGTTACACGATATTATCCACTATATCCCTAATGCAAAGAATTTTCAAAGTGAATAAAAATTAGGGGGTATTACATTTGAAAAAAGTTGATCATCAGGTCGGCTTAACGTCCCAACTTATTAATATTTTAATAGCACTAGCAGATTTTACTCGAAAAATTATCTTTAGAACTATACCTATTGCTAGTTTAACAATAAAATAGACAATGTATAAAAAACTCATACTGCATAAGGTCTTTCATGTTGAATTAGTTGTGATGAATAATTTAAAAATAATCAATTAATTACTTGACAGGTCTTCGATGTGATAACATGTAATTTGGTCCTCTTCGATCAACTTGGTCCGCCTGTTCTCGTTTGTTTGATCTGCCAGACGGTCTGTTTTGAGTTTCAAAGTATATCAAAATTCACAGTATCGATTTGTTTTGTTGGTACCATTAGTCGTTTCAGAGAGATAAAGCTGATTGTACTAAATGCTAGGAACCATGTTAGTAGCATACATACCAACAGTTTGTTAAATAAAGAAAAGTTTAATTTATAAACTTATGAGGTAAGTGTTAAATTTCATAAATTACATCCTAGATAAGGATCAGAATAGAAAAATAATGCTTAGATGTAGGGTGTCAATTCGCAGGGTATGATGTTATTGACAAATATCAAAGAATTTATAACAGTGTTGAAGTTGTTCCGATGAATGATGTATTAATAATTTCAGCTTCGATGTGATGAACATGTATTTTTGTCGTCTTTGATAAACTTTTTTCATATATTCTCGTTTATTTGCGTTCTATTCCATTGTCCACTTGCGTTGTGTTTTATTGATATATTTTGCACTTTAAAATACTATTTTTTGTACGATAAGTGCAACAGCGAGGATTTGTTTGAATATTTAAATTATTATAGTTAAATAATGAAGCAACAATTTGTTTTATAACCGTGGTACTGCAGTCTTTTAGATCAATTCTGGTTGTAAATTTGATTTTTAATAATATTAGCTGTGATATTTTTTTTAGGTATGCCATGTGGGAAAGCAGTAGTTATTACAGTTTGGTCGTGTAAGACCATCTTGGTCCGTTTATCCTCGCTTGTTTAGTACGATATGCTTTAGGCATTTAGGCATTTAGCTTTATTTGTTTTTGCGTATCTGTGTTATCTATCTATTGTATACAATTTTTAGCAATAAAAACAACAAAAAGTTTTGATAAGAAACTCTCATCAGTTTTACAATTTGTGTTTTTAATTGAATAAACATTATTTTAAGTTGAGAAATTGGTGTAACTTAATTGAAAATCGTTATGTAAAATTATTCCAACACAAAATTATTATAGAAACAATGATATTTCTAAATTGGACAATTGAAAAAGAATTTTGAGTACAACAGTAGAACAAAAGTCTTTTGAATTAATTTCTAAATATATTAATTAATTGTGAAACTTATTTTTAAGTTTTGCCATATTATAAAGAATTAAAATATTATTATTTTAAAATATTTAACTGTTCGGCAGTTTTTGAGCATCTTGGTCCGTCTATTTTCGCTTTGTTAGTCTATCAGGCGTCCTTCGTCATTTGGTGGTTTTTCTGCAATAGCCTATCAATGTGTTTTGATATTTTCAAATTTCTTGACACTTGCTTTGGTGGTACTGTTAGGCTAGTTTCAGAGGGAAAAATATGGTTATACTTGATGCCAAGAGCCTTCAGCATAGAAACCAATTTATTCCCTCATCAGCTAAATAAAGAAACAGACATTAAAAAAAACTAAGAGTATAACTGCATAACTGGAGTCTTTTAGATTAATTTCAGGTTGTATATTTGAGCGATATTAGCTGTGAAATTTATTTTTGAGGTTTTCCATGCAATAAAAATGTATTTGAAAAATTCTAATTATTTGACCGTCTTCTACTGTCTCTGTTCGTATATTTTCGCTTGGTTGGTTTGTCAGGAGTGTTTCGGCATTTGGTCACAGTCAATTTTTGGTTTGTGTTGCACCAATTTTCTGAAATTAAGAACAATGCCAAGTCATATTCTTTTTGAGAAGAATCACTCATTTTTTGTAAAGGAGTCATCCATCTTTTTTATTTTTAAGAATCATTTATTGCTTCTTATGTTTTTAATTGTTTAACTATTATTTTTAGTAGGGTGGTTGTACTGATTTTCAGTACAGCTTGACAATCCTGATGCACCTAGTTGTTTTCAAAATTCCCTGGTCACTTTAACTAGACTGGCTCACTCAATGAAACTTCTTTTAGAAATGAATTTTTATGTAAAGTATTGGTTGAAATGAAAAAGTTAGTGTCACGAGCGGGATTCGAATCTTCAAACTAAATACGCCGCAACTAGCCGAAGGTCGTGGGTTCGAATCCCGCTTGTGACTTTTTCATTTCAACCAATACCTTACATAAAGATTAATTAATAGAAAAAAGTTATTTGGATCGGACCACGAAATATAATGGATTCTTTTAGAAATTTGAGATCTTGGAGGTTGTCTCAGCTAAATGATATTTTTATATCTGTGAAAAAACATATGCCGAAGTTACAATATATAATCCCCTTCATAATTTTTAAATTATTTATACTAGAATCTAACTGATTTTTTTGATAATATTCCTTCTATGGCCATGGTATAGACATGTTTTGACTAGAATGTGTTTTCTGTTTAAGATTTCAAAATATATATTATGATAGGTGAAATAGGAACGACCTGTTTTAGAGGTACTATTAGGCTACTTTTCGAGAGTCAAAGTTGATTATAGTTGATGCTTGGAAGAGTGATGCAAGGTTCGGGGTAAGGTTTAAGCTTGTGAAGATTTCTTTAACGTAATTAAAAATTAGCCGGACCGAGATGACATAGTGGGAAATTGAACGGTGCGTATACGCAACCTCGCTAATCGGCCGTTGCGGCAATTTATGAGGAAGCTAATGCAAGTAGTCGCGGACCGCCGTACGAGTTAGGAAACGTTCTCTGATGGTCCGAGCGGCGATAAAGACAATGGCGAAGGTGGCGAACTGGGTCGGACAGGTTCCCAAATATATAATAGCCTTTGGGCCTAGACTCTCATGGGATGACGACACCGATTTCGCACTAACTGTTCACCGATGGGAAGCGATTCCGGACAACAATACAGCCGTTCATCCATTTATCGGACACCTCAGACGCGAAAATGAATTTCAGGTGTTTTGGAAAACATCACCAACTATAAATCCTACAACTTGAATTATTTATACATATTTCTCCGAAAAATACTGGATACTTTTGAACACATT